ACAAGCCGGCTATAGAGGCTACAATGCAACAAGAATTGCAATGTGGATTCACTTGTGCTAGATCAAGGTTTAAACTTTGCTAGGTTTAAAATTTCGAGTTGTGACACTTTGATACCCTGTGCTTGATCTGAAATTATTGTTTGTGTTTAATGGGTTGAATCGAAGAGGCCATGTTGCCGGAACACATTTCACTACGTTGATTCGATGATTTTTTGGAATATGCGAATGAATTTGCAGGTCAAGGAAGAATAAGTTTTCTGTACCGGACAGAGGAGTACCAAGAGATGAAGATGAATTAAGAAACATGAGAAATGCGTTTGAATTGAATACCAAACCATATGATCTGAATTGTGATGTATGTGAATAAAGATGATGAAGAAACGAGTTTTCTTTATATATATATATATATATATATATATATATATATATATATATATATATAGAGAGAGAGAGAGAGAGACCCTTTAATATTAAATAATTATATGTTTTTTTCTTTTTTTTTTAAATAAGGAAAAACTTCATAAGTGGTCTCCCGTGGTAGTGAAATGACTGAAATGCCCTTCACTTAACGACCAAAAGCTAACGGAGTTAGCGAAAAAGACCATTTGTTAAAAGTTTTGAAACCATAGGGACCATCTGTGAGGTTCTTTAAAATTAGGGATTAAACTTCAGGTTTCCGGAAACCATAGGGACCATTTTTGAAGTTTTGTCTAAAGTTTATTGTTTAGTACCTCTCAAAGGAGGGAGACTGTCTCGAAGGTCTTCAAGCATAATGTTCTTGAACTCGAATATGACTTGTATAATTTTGGTGGCATAACACCACTAGGTATGTCGTCCCACTTGACCCTTTGGTTACTATGACAACCATCATTATGACTTCTTGTAAATTGAGAAACAAATCTCTTAGATATTTTATTTGTAAATAATGAACGTGAATGACATTGTTAACTATGTTTTTGAGTATTTAAAACAATAATAATTTTTTGTTTTGTTGGAAACAATGTATTATATATGGAAGTTTTGAAGTAAATGGTCATCAATGTTTCAAAATTATCATAATTTAACCACCTAAGTTCAAATCATGCTAATTAAGCCATTAAAGACTCAAAATTGTCACAATTTAACCACTAAGACATGTTATAGTAGGTTCAACATGTTATCGACCCACATGACATGCCATGTAGACAATTTCTAACAATCTTCGTCCTCGTGGAGCTAACATGGCATCCCCATGGAATTGAAGAGGTTATCGTGAGCTTGATAAATATATGGAGTTACCGAATAAACCTTGTTTCCAGGTATCTTCCTTCTTCGTTCGATTATTTCATCATGAATACAAAAATATATGATGCAAAATTTCCTATATCCTTTCTGAGGTATCATGAGCTTTAAGTACCATCATCCACTATAGCCACCACCATCATAAGCTTCAAACCTCTTTCTTCTTGAACTCAATGGAATCATTAATGCTATCAAGAAGAGGAGTGAATTGGGGATATTCCAGCAATACTCTTAGAAATCGGTTTGAATCAAATCGAACACGTTTCAACAAGAACCCTCAATGAATCTGGAACCCGAGTTCAGCAAGAACCCTTATAAGACTGGTGGGTGTCATATCACGCTCACCACACTACTTCAGTATCACGTCATCGCCACATCACTTTTCCACTCACCTCACAAAACTGGTGGGTGTCATACCACAACTTGCCACATTTTTTATTTTTTTTTAAATTGAATGTAATTTAATAAAAATAAATTTTTTATAAAATTAAGAAAAATAAAATATTTCATTAATTTAATTAAAACAATTACAATGATAAAACGATAATTTAAATAAAACGACTACATAGATAATGCGAGGATTGCAATAAAACGACTACAAAATACGATTAGTTGTATTATTTTTTCATGATATCCGCTCTAGCCCTCAAAACCATATTGAGCTCGCTGTCGGTGAGATGATCGATTGGTTTTGTTAAAAATTCTAAATCACGTGTTTTTTGTTTCTCCTCACGAGTTTTTTGTTTCACGTCTCTCACTTTCTTTTTCTCTTCCATCTTTTCTTTCTCAAAATTCAAGCGACGCTCGAAATTCAAATTATAAATTTCAAAACTAGATGCGGCCTTCTGAATGTCAGAGCCACTTCCAACACCCGGTGTATTTGATGAAGACCCTTTCTTTTTCGCTCTATCTCGTCCCATAGGTCGAACTGCTTCTTCAAGTTTGAGCTCATCCACACTATTCAAATCAACCCCAAAATGTGCATCCGATGAAGTGGTGTAACTTGTCTCCGAAAATTTGTTCTTTTCTCACCACCTTCTTCTTCCCCATAGTCTTTTATCCATTTTTGGGGATGCGGATAAAAATATCCAAACAAAAATAAATTTGGAAGACTTTTTAATATCGAAAAAATATATTTTAAGCGCCGTCTCGAAAATTTGATGACCGCTTTCCCCGCTTTTCTGTTGAGTAAGCAAGTTCTTGTAAATGTCGTTGAATTTAGTAACCGGCTTGTTCATCTCTTGAAACTTGCTACAACATTGGTGTTTTGTACAGTATTCCCCACGACCCATGACACTAAGAAACCGCTCCATAATGTGTCGCCAAAAGTTCTCATCATTTTGCGCATTTCCAGTTTGTGAATCCTCATAAATGTCGACTCATGATTCGGCTAATGTCATCTCTTCATCCGGTTGCCGTTGTCGAGTCGGGGCCTTCTTTTTTACCAAAACCGACGCTTTTCCTTTCCCACATCTTTTGCGATTGGATGGCTCGGCTTTTGTTTCGTGAACAACATCGGGTTGGTTTTCGATTACTGGTTCGGGTTCGGTTACCAGTTCCGGATCGGTTTGTGTTTCCCGGGCAAATTCAAAATCCAGGATATATTCGGGAAATGGGGAAAAATTTTGAAACATGTTTGGGCTTAGAGATTGCATGGGGTAATAGTAAACTTGTTGGGGACGGGGTTAGGGTCGGGGCAAAATCATGGATGGATCAAGTTGGGGTCAGTATATTGACGTATCCAACGGTCGAACATTTGGACGCGATTTACCCCGAGCCGTAAATTGAGGATTGTTTTGATTAATTTTTTGGAAGAAAAAGGTTTCAAAACTTGTGGAATAGAAAGTGTTATGTGTGATATATGTGTGAGGTATGGTTTTAATTTATAGTTAAATTATTAGGAAAAAAAATCTGAAAAATTGACCGTTGTCAACGGTTAAATGGATCAAACGGTCCAAATCAACAGCAATAAGATCACCACCCGTAGTAAGGATCTCAAGTGCGATAAGGGGGGGGGGGGGGGGGTCAGATTTGTGTTCGCCGCATACTGCGGTGCCAAATCAGCTACTGCAGTGTGCGGTAGAGGGTGCGCCGACCGGCCTAAGTCGACAATGAATTTGGAACTCAAAAAACGGAAATGCCATACAAATCGGTTTAAATCTGGAATCCTAAATGAAACATGTTTCTTGCTGTTCTCAACGAATCCAGGGACTCAATTTCAACAAAACCCTAAATCGAAATCTTCTCTTACTATTTCTCAACAACCCTAAATCGAACATGTTTTTTGTTGCACCTTGAACTCGATTACTGTTCTTGTTGTGCTTGAGCTTTTGCTGAATCTAGAACTTGATTTTTGTTCTTGAAGCAAGAAAAGGTTGATTGAATTAAAGCTTTGGCGTTTGCTAGAAATTTGTTTTCTTTAAGAAGATTAAATGACAAATTATCCATTGTACAAACCGATATATCAAAGGAAAAGTTAGGTGTTGTTTGTTTTTTTGAAGCAAAAATTTATGAAGTCTGCGGATCACCTCTGCAACCCTCTGCAGTAGAAGCAGTGGACCAAACATATGCAGACTGTAATAAAAAAGTGGGTTTGTTTTTTTAACATCTGCATGTTGCTGCAAATATTAAAAAAATTAAAATAAACTGATTTTATAAACCGGAAATAGTTTTTTTAATACCGAAAATTTAATAATGTATTACATTTCAGCAAAAAATAATGATATGTCAACAAAAAAAAAATGATATTTTAGCAAAACATAATGATATTTCATCAAGAAATTATAATTATTCAATATAAAAAACGAAAAAAAATCAACAAGAATAAACAAAAAAAAAATGTGAAATAAGATTTCAGCAACATATAATCAAGATTCATCAAGATTTCAACAAGAAAAAAAAAGGTTGGAAGAGGCAATACAAGTGTTGCGTCAAACAGAACACACACAAATGTCTTTTACTCCGAAGACTTCTAAAAAACAAACAACTACGAGATGAAAAGTGTTGCGCGTGTGTTGCGTCGCAACAATAAGAGGTTTGAAAAGATTTTTTACAAAAAAAACAAACAGCACTTTAGACTTCATTGTGAAAAACGTTGGATGAAAACAAGAACGCAAGAAAAAAATTATATGTTTTTAAATTTTGTGGATGTCATGTCAACACCACCTGAATGAAAATGGTCAGAAATTACATACTTGTTATTCCACGTAGGTCGTTAACCTATTGAACCAGCTATAGTATGTCCCAACAGCTTAATAGTGACGATTTTAAGATTTCATGGACTTAGTTAACACAATTTGAATTTAAACTAGGTGGGGAACCCCCGCGTTGCGGGGGTCGGATGCGACAAATTTTTCAGTTGTTTGTTCTTTGTAAATTTTATTTGATCAACTATTTGTTTATAGTTTGAGTATTGTTATGGGACAGTAATATTGTTTCGTCATGGATAATTTTTTTGTCGTCGGATAAGCTATTTATCGAAATATATACTTAATGGGTTTATCCTTTGGTTGATGGGATGAAACTGGAGAGTCGGATTCCACGGACCAAATAAAATGCCTCCAATATCAAACATTAAGAGGAAAGGTATAGAACTATTCATAATAAAGTGTATCCAATATGAAACATTAAATGAACAGAAAAAATGCAACTAAGACTGAATGTAATTTTTTTATCTATAAATATGTTTGAAGTAACATACAAATCACACGGAACAGGTTTCTGCGTATGTCATCAGAATGCACATGAAAAATATGAAAAGCTTAAGTGTTGATCTCTATTAAGCGTGAACGTTACAGTCTATGACCTGTTTCGTTTCTTTTACGTGTATGTTTTAGAAATGGAGTTGTGTTTTTTATTTAATGTGTTACTGGCGTATATATACAAATGGATTATAGTGTTAATGGTTACGATTGTATGGAATGGGAATCAGAGAATAAAGAAAAAACATAGGTTATATTTCTTAGGCAGCACCAGTCCAACTGCTTCCGCTCGTGGGTAGTGCTCCAATTGCTCCTCCTTCACCTTTATCAGGTCTCCCTTGTAGCTTCAAACCCAATGGAACCTATAAATGAAGGAGAATGAGAAAACATATAAAAAAACGACCAATATACCCTTAAAAAAGTTGGAATGCATAAAAATGCATTTTGTGAACCTCATTCTTTGTTATTACCTTCTATGCAATCGGCCAACCACCAAAGTTACATCAAACCTGCATTTATATTGCACCTAATAGTTAATACACAATATCAATCGATCATAAGTCTAATTTACTAAATGTTGGTTGGATTGAAGTATGAATCCATGGCAACCACCAAATTTTCATAGTTTTCAAGATTCCAAATACGGGAGAGCCTTTTTTTGATGTAATACAAAGTAAATTGGGTACATCCGGAGCTTCCTCTCGTTTTCTTTAGTGAAGCTCCCCGGAGATATACGATATATGACGGGTCTCTGAAGCTAATTTTATCTAAATTTGATTTCAATTAAATTTTTTTATCCATTTTCCAAGAATTATTATTTTATCAATTTTTTTTAAACATAATTATCCATATAGCAGTTTATGTGAACAAACACTTAATGAGATTATGAGAATAAAAAATAAACATTTTCTTACACTAAAAAAAATCCTTATCTTGAGTTTCTCCATAGTTAAAGGCTCAATCTAGAATGCTCTTAGATGTGAAACTGCAAATAAATATGTAAAAAATAAAGAATGATACAAATTGGGTAGGTAACCTGAATTCCTATGGGACATTGATAGGTTCGATGGATGTGATTGAACCCGTTTTGGTTATCGAACAGCGGATGGGATACAACCTAGTAAAGCAGACACCTTTGAATTTGCCTGAAATAGCAATGTACTTTCACTTATTAGTATCTTACTTATATTTCTTCCTAAAATTGATACATTTTTTGAAGTACAATGTCCTAATATGAAAAAAATAATAGTACAACCTTACAATTGGGTGGACTTTTCAAAGTATACCACCTTAATAAGAGAAAAATTAAAAGTGCAATGTTGTAATAGAGAGAAGTGAAAGTAAGATGCTATAATAAACAAAGAAATAAAAGTATCTTGCTATTTCCTGCATTTATCCCAGTTTTGGAAAATTTCATAGAAAGTTTGCAATTCATTACCGCGAAAATAACACACTGGTTCCTTTGTAGGAAAAGAATAATAAAGATTCAAACTTTAATTTAAGATTTACATATCAATGATTAGTGGAAGATGTGTCACTCGCCTACAAATTTCAATTGTCATATCTGACCGCTAAACGCCTCCCCAACTTGGAACACAGTACGTTTGCAACAACACAAATACCGAGTACAGGGCAAAAAAATTAGAAAAGTGGTTTTTAAAATGGGCTAAAAGAACATAATGGTGTAATCATATAACATAAAGTAGTTAAGTGGCTATATCGATTAAATAGTGAAAGTGCAAATATTTTTTGTATTTTCCTTTTAGAATTAAAAAAAAAATTTAATAGATTTTTCACCTTCCGAGTCGAGTGTAAATCGACCAAGCTGTTGCAAGTCTGAATTTCTCGATGTATATCTTATTACTCACCTGGGGAAAATATTAGAGAAACAACCATAAAAATTAATGTCATTCAGCAAATTTAAATTTATAAACAACCAAATGACAGTATTTATAAAATGGTAATTTAAATAATATAAAGATTTTACAGTATATACAATGGTTCTAAAAGTAAATAGACATCTAGGGGAAAAAGGAAAAGGTAAGAGAAGAATGTAACAATATATAAAATTGATATGTTAAAAGGGCAAAATGGTCCTTTTAACAAATATGAAAACTAAGCTGAACACGACAAATGATAAAACCACCATTCTTGACAAAAAGCACCTTCTTTATTTGTTTCCTGGTTTTAGGATCAACTTGATGTATGAACACAATAATCTCACATTCCTCAACAACAGAGTGAATATGCAATATAGCTTTGTATCCTGCAGTGAAAATAGCATAGAAAAATCCATAAAAAAATAACTGATGAAGCATAATAATAGATCCAAGATGAAAGATTTATCTAAGTTCAATACATTTTCTAGCAATTCAATAATTTGGAACTCAGCGATGAACTCCTATTTATTTTTCTTCAAAAAAAAAAAGGGAAAACATCAAACTCTAGAAAGATATCCAATATTAAAAACATTATTACATTTTTTTTTCATAAATATTTGTATACATTAAAGATAAACTTAATTAAAAGAAAGCATAATACCAATACTGGAAAGAACAAAGTCGGTTAGTATGTCTTCTTCTTCAATACAAGTTTGAAAGAGAGTTCTTATTACTTTTCATAACTATTCATCAAGAACAGAAAGTGTAGAAACGTGAACAAATAAGAGTTCCGCATCCAGTTCTAGTATCTCTACCACTCCAGTTGTTTTTTTTTGGATGTTGTTGGACTATTTTACCCCTGCCAGTTGTAACATCTCCACACAATGATCCACCAAGTTCATGGATTCAGAAATAAGAGCCTTTAAGATATAATCAAACATAAGCATTCAATTTGTGAAATGAATTAAAAGAAAGGTATAGATGATGGATTTGTGTTACCTTTCCGGATCTTTCCATTATGCAATAGGAATCGGTGGCAGTCCTGTCAAAATCTATCATTGCAGATCCATGCCAACCATAACTTCAGATATCTTGGCATTGATATTTCCACATGTAAACGTTAAATTAGAATTAATACAATTCAGAAAAACTAAAAACTTATGAAATGCAGAAACAAATGGTGGAATAAGGCTGATCCAACGATATTTCTATTGAAATTGAGAAGAAATCAGAAAGCAAAGAGAAAGCTACGTCATTTGATTGCAGAGATTTAATAACATCTAATCTCATCTAGATTTAGTATCCAATTCACAAAGCTTAAAAGTGGTAAATATATGAAACCTGAAAACCCCGTGTAATATAGGACAGCCTCCATGGGATTACCTGAGGATTGCTCCTGAACAAAGAAAATACACAACATATATATATATATATATATATATATATATATATATATATATATAATGAATGTAATAAGTACAACAACATGTATGTACACGAAAAAAATGGACTTAGATCAATAAACTCACCTGGGAAGTTCGAGTCACTTTTGGCGAGTGCGCGATGAAGGCAACCGCGATTTCCCTTCTCTCTCTTCTTGGGCGATTTTTTTTTCTTTCCATTCAGAGTTTAGCCCTAGCAAATACACACAAATGACATGAGAAGACAACTCGTGGCTGATTTTTTTTGTAATCGAGTTTGGAAGATAGATAGCATTAGAAACAATCAAATCATACCTATAGGGTGCAATTACGATTTCTTGGTAACAGAGTCTTTAAATTCCCTTGCTCAGCCATTTCACTGTTCATCAGCTATACCAGTCACATATGCCAAACGACAAAATCATTGGCTTCAAACCTGTACTCTACATAAGCAATAGATGGTGATTAAAAGAAATTAGGGTTTGTGAGAGTTTGTTGTGATCAGGCACGCATCTTCAATGGACAGAAATTAGATACGTCATCGGAAACAATAGTGGGTTGGGGAAAGAGAATAGAAAGGGCTGTAACAGAAATAGATGCATATGAATAATTCTCGTACAAAGTTAGGATTTTGAATTGTTTGCTTCTGAATCTATATTAAGTAAAAATTTAAGTACATACGCAGTTTATTGTTACTGATCTGCTCGGATTAGCTCTCAAATATGAAAGAAGATGAAGATGATGTGTTACCTACCGTGAAGGAATCTACTGCGACTCACCGGAGACCTGTAATTCTACTTCCAATGGAGACGACGACCACTCGAGAAGCGGCGGAGGAGGCATGTGGTATTAAAGAAAACACCACCTACAAATCGTGCGATTCTTATGTGTAAAAAATCAAAATGGACAGTCAACCATTGGAGGTGGATATTAGCGAAAGCAGGTGATGGTGGATATAAGAGAAAATGGGTCACCGTCCGGACTTAGGGTGAGAGAGAGAGAGAGACAGGAGAAGAGGAGGGGAACATAATCGGTGAGAGGCGGTGGAACTGGAGATTGATCGTCTCCAAAAGACCGAAACAAATAGAAAGCGGTAGAAGCAAGCGTATGTGATTGGGCGAGGGAACGGTGATAGGGCGGTTACCATGGAGGTAAGGAGTCTGATGCTCATCTGAACTTTTGAAGAAATCAATTGGGACAGGGGATGGAGCTGGAATGGGAAGATATTGGATAAGGACGCTGGGAAGGATCCAGAAGCGGATAAACCCAAACGATGATAACACCTGTATAAAAGAATGTAAATATTTTCATAAAATGCCCACAAACACAATTGACAATATACAAATAAATAGGGACTACTTTTGCCAACCATGTTAAAATTTTTCACAATCTTAAAATATATATATATATATATATATATATATATATATATATATATATATATATATAAAATATAATAATGGCTAAATAACAACAATCTTGATATTTTCATAGTCAACTAAGTCAAAATTCTATATAATGATAAAAACTTTGGTGTGTGGGAGTGAACTCTTTTTAAAAAGATAGCGGTAAAGTGTCACGAGGCTGCTGTGGTGGATAAAATCCACGTGGACACAAGATAACCACCAAAAACCTCCACTGTCATCCTCCTCTCCACCAACCACCAACCACCACTACCACCACCACCACCACCATCACCGGATTTCACACAAACAAATTCACGTAGAATCAGTTTCCCAAACATGATATCGATCAGCTCGACTGATTGACTTTAGGTTACAAAAATGGCATTAAAATCTACGCCTCCAATTTCTTCCTCCTTACACTTCCCGCATTTATCAGTGGTTCGTTCGCCGCCGTACATTCTGTTTACAAGATGCAAATCGATCAGGTCAACATATCCGGCGATCTCTCTGCGGAAGAGCTGCTATTTTCTGTTCCCAATTCCACTGGAAGTCTTATCGACCGGTAGGTCTAAGCGTTATACAAAATCAACGGAAGATAGTAGACAGGAAACTCCTGCTGGTGATAATGACGACGATGATTCCATTGAAGAGACTTATCCCAGCTCAGATGATTTTGATAAAGTTACTTCCAGTGATTCGAGGAAAAGTATCTCGTCCTTGTCTGATGCTCTTAACCTTGGGAGTCGTGATCCTGTTTATGAGGTTTGATTCGATTTCAAAAAAATACATCGTTTCAATCTTATGCAGCTTAGGTTTAATTTTCTCAATATGCTAGCCTGTAACACTGAAAACTTATCTCTAATACAATGAGATGCACATTTGATAATCTTCATCTGACATACTGCTTAAGGTATAGAAACAAAATTGAGAAAGGGTGAAACTATTTTCTGTAAAATGTAAGTAATGTATGCATAAATGTTCCAGTAATTGTATCCACAAAGTAGAAATATTCTCACAGAGTCAACATATCTGGCTGAAAACTGAATATTGTATGCATGTTTCAGCATCATTGGTTTATTTAAATAAAAAAAAAAGTATTTTCAGTCATCTATCTCATCATAAGTTCATCAAATGTTCTTCTTTTTCTATCTTAAAGGTTGTGGAAGTTAGTTCAAAAGGAATGGTCTCAACCCGAAAAGTTAACAGGAGGCATCTACTAAAATCAAGTGGTGAATAATATAATGATTTGTTTCCTACTAAAATAATTGATCATTCTATTATTTCAATCAATCTCAAGATTCACATAAGAATGCATCTTCTTAATTTAAGTTTCTGATTACAGGTCTTCGTCCACGTGACATACGAAGTGTTGATCCCTCATTATGGTTGACAAACACAATGCCCTCTTTACTGGTATATTCTGTTTTCCAATAAAACATTAACATCATAATTTCTCATCATCAAAAATATATACATGTGTTTTTATATATTTTATAGGTTCGTGAAAATGCGATACTATTGAATTTAGGCTCATTGCGTGCAATTGCAATGCAAGAATGTGTCTTTATATTCAACTACAATCGGTAACTATCAACTACTAATAATTTCATACTGAATCAAAGTTACTAAATTGACATTATTCTTTTCTGGTTTATCTTTTGAGAATTACAGTAGAGGAGGAAAAGCTTTTATAGATGATTTGTTACCTCGATTAAACCCTAAAAGTATGATTGGAGGAGGCGTAATAATGCCCTTTGAGCTTGAGGTTTAATTATTTTTTACTTTACTAAAGATTCAGATTCTAGATCTACAAAGACTTCACAAAAACTTTAAATTTTTTAACTTTCAGGTAGTTGAAGCTGCACTTAATTCACGAATACAGCACTTTGAACACAGACTAATGGATTTAGACCCACACGTGAGTATAAAAAAACATAAGGATTTAAATTTCTAGCATATTTTAATCTGTAGATTTAAAAAAAAAACTTTATATTGTGTTTCAGGTTCAAGATTTACTCAAGGTTTTACCAAACCGATTAACAGCTAACATACTGGAACAGCTTCGTATATGCAAGCAAACTTTGGTAACCATAAATTTTAACCACTTTTCATTTTTTTTTTTTATAAAGTTAATTAGTTGCTATTATGAACCAAAAATAAAAAGGATTTTTATGGAAGGTGGAACTTGGATCAAAAGCAGGAGCACTAAGACAAATGCTGCTTGATATGTTGGAAGATTCTCAAGAAATTCGTCGACTTTGTATTGTGGGTAGAAACTGTATATTGAGTAGAAATAGCAATGTTGAATGCTCAGTTCCACTTGAGAAGCAGATTGATGAGGGTAAGTGTGTCTTTTGCATAAATTGAGATAGAGTAAAAAAAATAAAATCATCCTTGATTTTATTATATGCAGAAGAGGAAGAAGAAATTGAAATGTTGTTGGAAAATTATCTTCACAGGTAGAAGTTATTAAAATTGTGCTTGTTAATAGGTTTTTGAGTAAATTACATTTTTGGTCCCTCGGTATAGCTAATTTTTGCAATTTTAGTCCAAAAAGTATAGTCATTTTACATGGAAATAAGTTAAGGATCAAAATTGCAAGAGAAAACTTTTAGGGAGCAAAATGGAAAATATCGTCTATACTCAGGGACCAAAAGTGTAATTTTCTCTAGGTTTTATTAGTTGAATGTTATGTGTACGATTGCAGATGTGAGTCATGTCATAATCAAGCAGAAAGGCTTCTTGATTCCGCAAGAGAAATGGAAGATTCCATTGCTGTTAACTTGAGGTTTACCTTGTTAACAATATTACAATTTCCATTACACAGAAGGATATACTATATAGTTATATAATGATGAAATAATTGGTTTTTTACCGTGTTTAGTCCAAAATTAAAACATTTTTTTTCAATTTTGGTCCTTATTTCCAGGTCTCGTATTGATTTTGGTTCTGGGACTTTCTGATAATAACGCTCCAAGGACCAAAATCGATATTAAACATGAAATAAGGACCAAAACTGTAAAACATTTCAACTATGGACTAAAATGTTAAAAAGAAAAAAGCAAAAGGACCAGTTGTGTAATTTACTCTATTTCTTTTATCAGTTCACGGAGGCTTCAGGTGAGCAGATTTGAATTGCTTCTTCAGGTTGGGAGCTTTTGTCTAGGAGCTGGTGCTCTTGTTTCAGGTCAATAACTCTTTTTACTTAAATCATACATGAAAAAGGTGCAAATTTCAAATTTATGCATGTGTCAAAAGTCTAAAATACCCTTCAACAATTGTCTGTGTAGGTATATTTGGGATGAATTTAAGATCCTATATTGAAGAACATGTGGTACTTTCTTCTCAAGTCCTTAAACTTTTAATATCCTTCCAAATTCCAATATTGTCCACATTTTCTAAGACTTGACGATTTTAACCCTTGCAGTTTGCGTTTTGGCTTACAACAGCCGGAATTATCTTCGGTGCTTTAGTGGCATTTTTTCTCACATATTCTTACTTGAGGGCAAAGAAAATATTATAGGCGGATCTTGCAAGGTACATTTACATCTCATCATTTATTACATAGCTATAGATCAAGAAATACAAAAGTAACATACAGATTTGACATGATAATATCATTTGAACAAAAAAGATCAAGGGATGATAATACCATTTGAGGTGAATATGCAAGGTTTTAGCAAGATGGAAGAATAGATATATTTTGTGTATAATTGTATGTAAATTCTAAATGTTCATTGTGTACACACCATGATAGATAAATACGATACAAGATTTTTTGTCGATTATTGTTTGGATAAAGTGTTGTCTGGATAAATAATATTTTAGAAAATAAAAATGTACTTTTAAGAAATGTAAGGAAACAAATGCAAAAATAGCAATTTAGTTTGTAAGTTTTTGTAGAGTAAAATGAAAATATGGTCCACGTGTTCTTAATTTTTTCGGTTTGAATCAAAAGGATTTATTTATTTATTTATTTATTTTTTACTTTTGGTTCTCGTTTTGAGACTTCTTTTTGGTTTTGGCCTTTCGTACTCACATTGTGAATTTAAAACTTTGTTTGGCAAAGTAGCTGAAAAGTTAGTTTTTAGCTAAAAAACTAACTTTTGTATGGTAGCCAATAAAATAATAGATTTTGTTATATAAAATGACATAAAAAAATATTTAGGGTATATTTGAAAAACCTGTAGAAAAGAGCTTCATGAACTTATTTTTAAGGTATCTCAAATACCTTTTAAAAAACTGGTTTTAGTTTATAAGTTACTTTTGATGTTTTACCAAACACAACATTGTCATAACCTCAAATGCTCTTTAAACCATATCATTGTCCTTGTAAAAAACCCTCTCTATTAAGTTGTCTATTCTGCATTAAGTCAAAAAGAAGTGTACTCATATGTATAACTTACTGGATTAAATCATGTCAAACACTTTTTCATGTCATCCCAATCATAAAATGAGCCACAAAACCGAATAAAATGTACAATTTGTGCGACCACATTACAAGTTCAAATCCAATACACAAACATCCCAAAACAGAAATCCCCAAATTGTACAAAGAATAATTAATCACCTGTAAAACTCATCAACTTTACCTTAATTCCGAATTGTCAACTCCCCCCAATTGCTATTTTCCCAATTCCAACCACCATAGCTTCCCTCTCATCTCTCTCTCTACTATTCATCTGAATCTGACCAGTGATCCAAGGATGATTAAGACACTCTGCAGCAGTGGGCCTTTTCTCAGGTACAAAATCAAGTATAGGAACAAGAAAATCAGCCAATTCATTTGCATCTTCTTCACTAAACTCATATTTCTCCATTAACACCTTGTTTAATGGCCAAAATTTCAACCTCCTGATATGCCTCAAATCACCATGTCTGTTGAAAAAGTCTCGTGAATACCTTCCACCTAAAGCTACCTTTCTAGGCATCGTTCCCAAAAGCTCCATCATTAAAGCCAAATGATCCTGTAAACCATAAACAAAATTCAACAATGGAGTATAGATGACAGATGAACACTAAGAATGAATGAATGTACATTACATACCTCATCTCTGTCATAATTTTCACCACTATGAGGATCAAAGAGAACATCACCAGTTGCAAGCTCAAAACAAATGCAAGCAAAAGACCATAGATCTGCAGAAGTTGAGTATTTGGATCCTAGCAATACTTCTGGACATCTGTATTGTCTAGTTTGTATATCACTTGTGAATTGTTTATAAGTCCAACATGCGTTACCAAAATCAACCAGTTTACACTTGACATCAACCTCTGTTAACAGCTTCTTCCTTGTTGAACGGCTTCTTCTCCTACTTCCATGGCTGGAATCCATTGATTTCTCTTTACAAGCTTCAACATCATCAGATTCTTCCTTTCCGGAAGAATTTTGGGCGGCTTTCTTAGCTTTTTTCCTGATTTTCTTCTTCTGATTCTTTGTAAGATCACCATTCGAAATCTTACTATCTTTTGAAGCTCCGGTGTCCGGTGGAACTTTTTCAGATGGGAGAATGAGAGGTTTGCCTGTTTTTCGTGGATCCTTTTCTGGATCGATCGTGGATAAAAGCAAAATGTTCTCCGGTTTAAGGTCGGTGTGGATGATGGAAAGCTCCCGATGCAAGTAATCCAAACCTCCTAAGATGTGGTAGCAGATTTGTTTAACTTTGTGAAGAGGAATTCCTCGATAATCTGAATACTTGATTAGAGTTAAGAGATTATCCCCCAAATACTCGAACACCATACACACATGTTGTCCGTTTGGGCCGGAGTGCTTGAAATGATCTAAAAGCTTCACGACGGATTTCTTATCGTCAGGATCTCCCTCCGCTATCTGCTTTAAGATTGTGATTTCATCCATTGCTGCTTCAGTGTAATGTTGAGCGCTTTTTTGAACTTTCAAAGCTACATATCTCTACAAAACAAAATCAAATAGATCATGTTTGAAATCCTTCACTTCAATCCTCAAATTAGAGAAGGAAGAACACAAAGACAGAAATCGTACAGATTTATGAGTGTCCCAAGCGAGCCAGACAGTCGAAAAATGGCCCCAACCGAGTTTGCTCTGAACAACATATCTAGAGTGCTTAAACGTATCGCCAATTCGAACAGCGTGATAACCTCCACGCCTGTAATCCTCTGTTCCTTCGTCTTCTGAAGTGTAATCGCTTGCTTCGCTCCGATCATCGACATCGCCGGCGCCGGAATGTCTTGTATCATTACTATTATTTTCCTCCGCCATTAAAAGTGTAAGACTGTGCGATTAGGAGCCCGGCAGAAAAGATGGAGGGAGTTGAGCTTTCAAATCAACCGATTACGATCGATCTGGAATGAAAAGTGCAAAGTAAAGATTGTATCGCCTTTTTGAAAATTGAAAGAGTGTATCTTGGAAGTTGGATTCTAGGGTTTATATTTTATTTTCCGGGGAGAAAACGTATGACACATGAACTAAATATATGAACAGACGACATATTTTTTCAGTGTACAGAGGGGACAGGTTCTGAAACATAAATTATGTGGTCTGATTTATATTTCCTTAAAAAATTAAGGTTATATATTTAAAAAACGTTCCATCCATTTATTTTTATTTTATTTCGAGTGATTTTCCAAAATGTGAAACTCGAGTTCCATTTTATAAATGTTGGGGTCACAACCAGCTACGAACATTATTTCTTGTAAATATATAAAGATGCAAAATCAATGGAGAATATGTTTATAGGAGATAACTAGGAGAAGCTTTTATATAAACTGAAATTTGATATCAAATTTCAGTGAGTATGACTTATATAAAAGTAATTGTGTCATACCCAATACAAGAATGAAATTTGGTGTTAAAATTACATGTGGATAAAAAGTTCGGAAAAATTTGCAAAAAAATCCATAAAGTTTGGCTTATCATTTTATTTTATTTATTTATTTTTTTTCAGGTAAGCCTAAAAACTAGTAAACATTTGAAAAAAAAAATCATGTTCCCCATTAATGACCGATTTTAGAGTTTTTCAGAAAATTTTAAGGACTTTTTGAAAATAAACATTTATAGATGATTTTTCGTTAATATGGTTAAAATTTAAAAACATTTTTGAAAAAAAATTCTTTTTATATATATTAAATTAATCTGAAGAAAAATCATATTTATTTATTAGAAATTTTCAGAATAAAGATACCATCTACATCATTTTCACTAAAAAAACTCATTTTTATTTATTAAAATCACAATAATGATAAATTATATATCATTTTTTGGTTTTTTGTGATAATGATAATTTATATATCATTTTTGGGTATTTAGGTTATGTGTTATAGAACAACTTGAATTTAATTTGGTCACTTTTAAAAAATAAAAAAAAATCCTCCATTATCATTCTTTATATCTAAGTCACTTCGTTTTTATACAAAAGACTTGAAAATTCAACAATAAAAATTATATGTTATCTTTATTGTTGATTATTCAAGTCTAGCTGTAAAAATGAATTAACTTAAGTATAAAAAATGACAATGTTGAGAGTTTCTACTTTTTTAGAAGTGACCAAATTATATTCAATTTGTTCTACAACACATAACTTAAATGTCAACATGGTTAAATAATTGCAAAGAATGATATAAGAGCTACAATAGTTATATATGTTAAAAAAGATATATAGTTATGATATTTATTGAAAAAATCACAAAAAACCCAAAAATGATATATAAATTATCATTATTGTGTTTTTTAATAAACAAAAATGAGTTTTTTGAAAGATCTACTATGTCCAAGAGTCATTATAGAATGATATTGCTAATAATATATGATCCTATTGGGTCACACCATATAGCAAGTTACCGTCAATTGATTATTTATTAGTATAATTTGATTATTAATAAATATATCAACACTTGTATTTAATTGGAAAATTATTAGTTCATGGAAATAATATTTTACTAATTAAGAATTTATTATTTGTGTAAATAATATTTATTGGAGAAATAACAAGTTATGAAATATATCATAAAGTATGATTATTTATAAGTTATATTTATATCTTAATAAACTAGTTCAATTTATATAAAAGATAGTTTTATATAAAATAAGATATTTGTATATGACTATATATATATATATATATATATATATATATATATATGTTGGGATTTTTTTTATAAAAATGATTGATTTTTATAAAGATAATATGTATGTGTATATAAACTAGCCATGAGACAATTTTTGTCTTCTTTTGTGCCTAGCTTTTTTGAAAATTGTAAGGAGACCAAGCATAATATTCTTTTGCCATGCTTGGGAAAAAGTTGTCTCTCATTTTACTTTATGATCTCCTTTTACTTTTTGACCATTATATAAGAGAGAGCATGAAATGTTTTTTTATACACTTCTTGCAAGCTTCTTCTTCTTCTTTGGAGTCCCAAAACCGTGAGCATGAGAGGCTCAAAGGGGCTGCCAAATTTCAAAAGTTCAATCCCTTATTCTTCTCCATTCTCTTGCATTTTGATGCTAGACAAAACCTCTTTGTTGCTTCACCTTTGAACATATATTTAGCATATATTTCAAAGGCTTGTGAACAACAAATTACAAGTGAATACTAGCATGTGTTGATGGTTCTACTCTTGTTTGGTGGATACTTGTAGAGAACTCTTACTTTAGAGTTTCATGTCACACTTCATCAACTTCCAACCTCTCACGAGGATCAAAGTCTTCAAAGGTTGTTATATTTTCCCTTCTATGGTTGTTTTAATCTTTCTAACTCTTACGAAATGATCATTGGTGGGTAAAATATTTTTAGTTTTATTCAACATTTTTAAAGCTTCCGTTGTCAATTTTACCGGTTGTGAAACTGGATTTTGAATAAAAACCCAACAATTGGTATCAGAGCCACTTTTGCAAGATTAGTTAGATTATTTCTTTAGTTGATGAAATCTTTGTTTTTGGAAAACATGGATGGTTTTCTCTTTGCAAGAAAAATTCATACATATATTTCTATGACAACTTTAAAATGTTTATAATTGTTATTTTTTGACCAAAAGTTTACATGCATGTTTTTGGTCATAAAAGTTGTCTTAGAAAACTATTACTTGATAATTTTGTGATGGCTCACAAAACTATTACTAGTTAATGTCTTGGTTTTTTTTGTGGAAATGGAACTTCCCTAATGAGGGTTTCCAGCTTTCGCGCACCGACTAATCATCCGCTTATAATTGTTATGCATGCTTGTGTTGTTTTATGTTATTATTATTATTATTATTATTATTATTATTATGTTATGGTTGATAAATTAGTTTTTCAAATGCAAAATAATATTTGAACATAAATAAACATCACACGGAGTTTGGTTTTAATGAAATTTACCTTTTAACATAAGATGCAAAAAAAAATTGTTTTACAATAAAACAAGTTTTATCGTTAAAACTAATAACCGGTAAAATTTCGGGATTAAAATTGTATAAGTTTAAAATTGAGATTTGTAAACTTATCAAACTCCAAACCTTATTTTATAAAAGAAAGTTTTATTAAAAGGTTTCCAAATATTCTAAAGCGCTCAAACGATATAACTTAATACTAGTTATTAATTTAAAACCTAATCGCGCCAATTATATAAAACCGGGTTTTATACATAGAACACTGTTAAAATGTGATTTTTTCATAAAATAAGATTTTCAAAAGGGTATACCATGGTTTATTGAATGCATGCAATAACCATGATATAACATGTTTTTTAAACTACAATTATAAAAACATCAAAGACCCCTTACATACCTCAAATCTATGCAATCATTTTTTTAAGAACACTCGCACGTCTCTTGTATGCACTAGTGGGATAAAAGATACATAACCGCTTAGTATTATCTTTTGATGGCCGAGGTGTTTTCGCGATTTCTGTGACACCAGTCAAATTTTGGTCAAAAATAAATTGATCAATAATCGTAATTGGGATGAACCAAGTGGTAGAGTTTCTAACAAGGTTTCCAAAAACATAAAGAACACTGAAATCCGAGTTATAACGAAGAAGTTATGGCCAATCGAAAATCCGCGATAAAACCGGCAAAACACTGTTCAGTGTAAAAAGTGAATTTTCGATAAAAGGCTTTTTAGCCTTAACAATATAAATGAAACTTGTAGAATATGTTAAACCGAGAACGTTCATAAAAAGAACGTAAAAATCTGACTTCGTATGAGGAAGTTATGATTTTCCGAAGTTTCGGTTTAGCAGTAGACAGCTAAGAATTCGAAATATAAATCAATCGATATTTAGCCGACGCAACTTAAACAAGAATCGAAGGTCTCGTCAAAAGTAGCACAACGGTAAAAAGACAGACGAAAACGGACGTCGGATGAAGAAGTTGTAACGACCTGAAAATCCTTCTGGTATCGATGTTAGCTTTCTGTTACTCGAAAATTAATTTTTGTAAAGATAATTCGATTCTAAGGGTATAGAATGAAATAAACTAAACAAAAAGGGTGTCAATAAATACCTAAATTAATTAATCGACATATTTAACGAGTATATAATTTAATTAGTTGTGTTTTTTTAAGAAATAAGGTATATATATAATTCATTAAAACGTATGAATGACATAGAGGGGTTAAAATGTCATTGAATGAAACTTGATTTATTAAAGAAATTGTTAAAAGGTTAAAAGAATTATTTTGAAATAAATCGAAGGACTTAAAGTGTAACATTTCTATTTTGAATTCAATTTAACCGATAGTTACGTATGTGTTTATTTTCTTCCGTTTCCTTCGAGTATAGTAATTACTTATAACCTTCAAGGAAATTGGATCGATTATTCTCCAATCCGTTTCCTCAGCATGTGGAATAAGATGCAACCCAAAAATGAAGCTTGCTTACTGTTCTTGCTTGGCGTCAACTGGGAAGGAACGAAAGAAAAAAACAAAAGAAACGCGAATACAGGAAGGAGAAAGGAGACGGTTGTGGTGGCTTAAAGTGGTTTCAACAATGGAAACCGACAGAGAAAAACAACGGGAAACCCAACTCCGATGAGATCTTGATGCGGTATTGCAGTGAACCACGAATGGGAAGAAATATTTACACAAGCATGGTGCGAGGTGGGTAGGAGTTCTGTGGAAGGCGTAGATAGGTTGCATATTACATGTATTGGCCACTGTGAAGGACAGTGAGAGACACGTTGCTTCCTGTGAATATAAGGTAAAATCTTTCTACATGTATTAGTTACAATTCATGGGATTAATCACATGCATGGATATATACATATATATGATGAATGGATGGTGTGTGATTGGTGGAGTAAACAAGTAGTTTAACAAGATTTGTTAATTGTTTTTATGGACGGTGGATTATCTCATTTAAAATACAAATCGTACAAAAATTGTTATATAGATTCAAGAGTTTGATCAAGTGGACAGTGAGGTTTGGTGTTTAACAAAAGATAACCAATATTCAAAGTTTCTAGCAAACTACGAATTACTATTCAGGGAGCAAACCATGAGATCTTAATGCACTCATTCAAGGCCAAATTGGTGAA